CAGGCTTCCCATGCCATGCTGGGACCTGTCTGGGGAGCCCTCAGCCACGGCCTTTGTGAGTAATGACAGAAGAGGACTTGAAGCACTGAATTCTCTCATACTGCTAGAAATACAATTATGCCTTTTTATGACTTAGAAAACAGCATTACTAATTTAGTGGAGAATTTACAATAAGATACTTCCTGAAGTAGCATGCCCAAGGTCCTGAGGATTTATAAATTACATTAAGAACTTGAATTATTATAGCTACAAAATACAGCTGAGGTATGAGCATTTCTACTTAGCATTAGAAATCGTTTTATTATTCACATTAATTAAACCTCTAAGCCTTGGAGGAAGGTTGCGTTGTGGTCGCTCTTTTCCTGGGAAACCAAACTCTCTGAGCATCCCACAGAGGGCTGGTGATGTTCTTTGCAGGTTGTGAGGCCAGAAGCCCGATCCCCTGCTCTGAACCCAGGCGGGAGCTGTTGGAATTCTCCAGATTAATTAATTGTGAACAACTTGCATCGAGTTCATTAACAGCTCTAATGTGGTTAATTAATAATGCAAACATTCTTGGCTTTCCCGTAATTCAAGGTTGGTGTTTGGAAAATGGAGTTTTCATCTCGGGTTGAGTGATGGATAATCCATCACCGCCAGCAGGCAGGTGAGGGGATGTAAATATTGCTGGAGAGGATGGGCTTGTCGAGCCTTAATCTCCAGCAAACTGTGTTAACATGGCAACATTTCTTCTGGAGCTGGTCCTGGAGGCAGCACTGTGACAGCTTTGCGTGAGCGCGCAGAGCCAGGGTGATTTGTGTGGCATTGGTTTTATTAATTCATTTACTTGCTCCGTGGAGTAGGGTAGAAACTAAATCACAGGGTGTTTGGAAAATACTCTAATGCTAATCTGAGTAATTTATAAGTGTGTTAGGCAGTGTTTCACACGTTCAGACCCTCTGTGAACTGCCCTTAATATTTGCAGTGACTGCATCCCATCCCAGCATCACCTCTTGTTGCAGTCATTCTTTGGCTGGCCAGGTCTCATGGTCAGTCGTTGTACCTCACCTACAGCACAGTCATTTTAAAATCCATTAGCTGCAATCCTCTCAGGTTTAAGAGGTTCTAAAATTGATCTTCTCTGTACCAAGCCAAACACTTTTCGTCAAAAATATTGGAGAAAAAGTAATTAAAAAAGGAATATCTTATTTTATCCTCTTACCCACTAATTGCTTTGGCTTTCTCGATTCAGTTAGGTCCTCACCTGCAACTATAATCAGACAGAGAAGACTTCTATGCTAATATCACCTTTGACCTTTGTGCTGCAGTGTTGGCCACAAGGCAATAAACAGGTATACTGACTCAGTGCATTGCCTGAACGCAGCTGCAGCACTTGGGGAACTGAATGAGGGCAAAAGTTTGCATCCCATTAAATCAGTCCCAGCTTGACCAACTGCTGGGGAAGCATGACGTGTTTGGGGCTGTGTTACCCGTGCTCCATTTCCCAAGCTAAAGGTCTGTGTAAGTTAATTGGGAGGTGAGGATCTGTGCATGAGACTTCCTATAACAGTGAGTTCTCCCATCCCTTGCTTCCAGCAGCGTTATGGTTTGGTACATTGTGTGCTATCCAAGAGCCAGTTATAAGATTAAAAAATTATTTCCTTGTCCCTTCAGCATGATTTAAGCAATAAAGTCCTTTGCTCCGTATTCTGTTTTAGCAGGATGAGACACCCGTGAACAAATGTAACAATGATTAAAGGTGGTAACAATGTATTAAAAATATATTTTCTTTAGGTTTAAGTGAAAAGATCTAATTAATGATATGAAGCACTTAAAAAAAAAAAAAAAACACACATGAAATCTTTCTGCACAGTGTAGCACGAGCAAAGGCACGCAGGGAAACGACATTTACTATGTAAATTATCTCTACGCCGTGCTAAATCAATGAGTTTTCCTCCATAGATGCTCATTCCAGGTTGCTCCCTATAATGACCTCAATTATACATGTCTTCATTGTGAAATTATGATTGCCTTTGGCGGGCTGCAAATGACAGCAGAGGAAAGATTTCCGTGATAAAACAGCACAACAAGTAATACCTGCGTGCATTAGTATGCAGAGCGTGCAAAGGTGCAGCACAACTCCTGCTTTAGAGCCTTAAGAAATCAAATTGGAGAGGAGGGGGGGTGTAGGGAAACGTTTGGCTGTATCTTGACATTTTTAACAAGAAAAGGAATTAGTGAGCCTTCACCATCTCAAGCGTGTTGCAAGAAATTTCAATGGCGGCACGGCTGCGTGGTTGGCTCAATGATCTGCACTGCATCACTGCCCCTCTGGGGTGGGGATAGAAGCAGAGAAAAGAGCTGCGAGGAGCAGGATTTCCCTGGACTGCCCTCCTACCCAGTCCTAGTGACTGGATGATTTAATTTGGCATTTGGTGAAATGTCGTAGGCAAATGTGGTCGCATCTGTTCCTCCATAAAGCTGGTTGTTAGCGAGGCGGTACCCCGGTCTTGAACTACCCAAAGTTGAGTCACAAGTGTTGGGATCCCATTCTCCTATTGGTGGCAGAGGGGTTACAAGAACCACTTCTTCTCTCACTGCAGTAGGCTGAGAATTTGGTTCAGGTGAAATATCAGTGCAGAATACAAGGTTTGACATGGCTTGATAAATAGGATAGGCTAGGAGTGATACTTGCAGAATCCACGGAATGTATACAGAGCTACTGTGCTTACGTCAGCCTGCAGAATTTCCCAATAAACTTGAAATTGCCCCATTTTAGGACCAGATTCCATTCCAGCCTGTGTTCTGCGTGTGAGTGCATTTTGAATATTCCCTATTCATTCTGTTTGGGTTTTATGTGTGTGGTAAAAATCCTTTTATCTCGTAAAGATTTTTAAGAATAAAATGTGCAGCTCAGTACTTAATCTAGAGGATTCCACCCAAAATCATTATGGTGACTTGAATAATTTGCACAATCGGCATCAGAGTGTTTGAGGTCTGCAGCTTAAGTACAAGATTCTGATTTTTCTAAGATTTGTGTTTTTAAACCAAGGAGCACAACCTTCATCTCCTCACAGGGTATCTCTGTTTCCATCCCAAGGCACCTGGTTGTGTAAGTGCAATTTTTTTTCCTAGCAATGCCAAGAAAGCTGCGACTAAAACCACACAACATAATCCTTTATTAATAGAAAGACCCTTGAAAGTCAATGTGATCGTGATAGGATGCCTTCAAATATATTCCACAGAAGTATTTGAGGGGGGGTATGTGATTATTTTAGTGATCTATCTATATTACATATGTGCTGTAGCCTAAAAAGTCCCATCTTGACCTGGTTCAGTTCTTTGATGTGTGGCAGCCACCCAAGGTGTCTTAAGGGACCACTGGAGCTCGGGGACTGGGCAGTGTCACAAATGAATGATCCTTTATTTCATTTCTCCTCAAGAAGAGATGGTCCTCATTAGCCTTATTCTGTGCTACAAATCATTGTAATTATCGACTCTTTATCCCATCGAGTGTGCTCCAAATATTTTATTAATGAAAAAGGAGCTCCTTTTTTTTTTTTTTTATGCAGAAAGTAACTGTTAGCAGCACCTCTATGGGGTTTACGTGCTTCGGGTGGGTGAAGGCAGAGGGCTGGGGCACTGCATCGTACACTGACCCCAGTGTGAGATCTCCTCCTCCAGCACATACCCAAGGGTGATGCCTAATGAGATATGGTTTAATGAGGTGGTGTTTAATGAGGTGTTCATTCCTGGCTTTGTTGCTAACCTGACTGGGGGTGGGTGATGTTCTTCTTCCTGCTCCTCCTCTGTCTCTCCATCTGGGCTTTAAGATTTCAGGGGCATAAAAGTTTGATGGCCAGACTCCTCTTGTGTCTGCTCTATGGGAACGACTGCACCCCAAGTAATAGCATGATGTTGGTCAGACTTTCTTAATTTTTGATTGATAGTACAGCTGTTTATTTTAACTCGTGGTGTTTCTAAGCAGTGCTGAGAATATTAAGTGGGAGAACAGCTCGTGGCTGGCAGACACGGCGTGCAATGTATTGATCTTTGCAGCCCTAAATCAGCCTCGGACCTCCAGTAGTGAGTATGGTTTGTGGCACAGTGAATTGACTTCTCGCTTGGGTGAGAGGGGATGCAGTGCTGCTCAGTATGGCTGCACGAGTGGGTTCTGCATGAGGGGCTCACAATCATCAGACAGAGCCCCAGAGTCAGTCCTGTCAGCTGCCCGAGGTTGTGGAAGGCATCAAATATTTTAGGGAATTGATCTTCCAGAGTTGTTACTCGAAAGTTTTAAAAGCGGTTTTTCATGTAGAGGGTACGAAGAGATGGAAAATGTTCCTTGAAGAAGTAGATGTTGGGTTTTATTGAGTACATTTCTGTAGTGGAGGCCAGCTGAAGAGGATTTTACCACAAAAGCTGTTAACTCTTAAGGCGATATCGCATCTTAAGCTGTGACTTGACATGATAAAAATGGTGTTCGCAGTCCTGAAAGTCAGCAGAAGAAAGTGCGTGAGGCATTTAAATCTTCCCGGTGCAGAGACACTGGAAGTGATACACAGATCTTGTGTGGGTCACACTGCAGATACATGAGAATGAGCCTGATGAGTAGGGTAGCTCTGCCAGCTGGTCCAGGGAAGGGAATAACATGAGCCCACGTGGTGTTTTGTGGTGTCAGCAGTGCTGCACTTAGTTTTCTTAAAGCACACAGGCTGGGGTAAGGCAGCATCCATCTCTTTGGTCCCTGTTTGATTGCAGCCAGTGCAGTGGGATGAGGACAGAGGGGCTTCAGGGGGTGGGAGGGGCTCATTCCCCAGGCCAAGTTTCTGATTTGGCTGAGGCAGTATAATGCCAATGGGCTGTGAGCATTCCTTGATCCTCTCAGTGGGAAAGCTTCCCGTTTGGCTTTGTTGCTTAGAGGTTTTTGACACCCAACGCCTTGCTAAAATCCTTCGAAGTTATTCCTGGAATGGAGAAGAAAGGGAGCCTTGGTGCTATTTGGTGTTATTCCTTTGCAGAGGTGGTCCAGCTCAGCCTGCCTGAGGAGCAGCGGGTCAGCATCACCACCATCACAGTGGGCCTCAGCACCATCCTGACGTGCGGCATCCGCGGGGCGCTGCGGCCGCCCATCATCTGGAAGCGCAACGGCATCATCCTCAACTTCCTTGACCTGGAGGACATCAATGTAAGTCCTGAGTTACTCCTCCTTGCGTATTGAATACGGCTTCATTTAACAGCGGATGGTTTGAAAGGAACAAGTTTTGTCTCGTTATTGTCATGAAAAACAAAGCTGGCGTGATGTTTTGTTTTTGTAGGAATGTCTTAATCATAATAGCTGAGAGCGTGGGTTTTTGGAATGCTCAGGTTACTGCAATTTGCTTAGCATTGATACTTCATCCTCTGTTCCTTGTTCAGTTCAGTGCAACCAGAGCAGCCCTGGAAAGCAGGGGAAGGAGCTCCCCACACCATTAACCTCTCGGCTTTCTCATTCCCAGTACAAAGCCGCGGGTTCATCGAGAGCATGAAACAACACATTTACGGCTGGCAGTGAAATCTCTCCTCTATCTAAATCAAATAAATCTGTTTCTCCTCTTTCCCTCGCCTTTCAGCCTGCTCCCATCTCTCGCTGCTCAGGATTTCTGATGAGCAGTTTAAAATATGGGGTAATTCAGCAGGGTGTGGTGATACCTTGGCAGGAAGGGAGATGGATCTCTTTTAATTCGCAGCGCTGGTCTGATGTGTGAGTCACAGTTGATAGTAAAAACAATACCTGAGTAATGGCGTAAACTTCCTCATTTATTTAATAACATTTAATTATGGGGAAACTGGAAAGTCATGTAAAAAAAATATGGTCTGTATTTAATTTCTCTTTGCATTACAGTACATGGTAAATCAGTTTTTATTTTAATTACGCTACAGAAGGAGGTGATTTATATTTTTGTTCGGCTCTTGTTAATTTGATAAGCACTCAGTTCAGAGTTGTTACAGCCGTAGCTCCCTAAATTGTTGTGTATCTGGGATTGCTGAAATGCAAAAAGTCTTTGTTTTACTCTTTACTGCAACATAACACATTATTTGTTGCCTCTGCCTTAGTAGGAGCCTAGTGCACACTGTATGGAAGTGATTACTGTACACACAAATTCAGTAATTACAGCTATCTAAAATTTTCCTTTTAATCAAAGCAAGAATTACCTTTTCCAAATGCGTTTCTTGTTGCCTTTTGGAGCATGGCATGCAGTGTGAAACCAGCAAACATCCCACTGCAGTGTTGGCACAGGTTTGTAAGGAGCAGTGCTAAGGATGCTTAGGATTGCACAGCCAGTCCAAGGCTTGCAGAGCTGACGGGATTTCTTCCAACCACCCATCAGTGCTGTGGTTGGGATAACGGCCATTGCTTCACTGCACTAAAAATACATGGAACACCACCAAGAAGCAATACGCAAAATCCAGCGTTCCCTCCCGGAGTGGGAAAGTGGCCAACCCGACAGCTGATGGTCCTGTCCAAATATTCTTCAGAACAGATCTATTCCTCGATGCAGATTAAGCTGAGTAAAGATTACACTTGCTGCCAGCATGCTTAGTTTAATCCACAGCAAGCAAACTCAACATCTTTGTGTGATCAGAATGTAGAAGGAGCCTTTCTATGGGCAGCGATGTTTGATCTGAGATGTCCTGTTTTGAGGCTCAGATTTGCTGCTGAGCTTAACTGAGTTAAAGGTGAGAGTCAGCTGTTCTGAAATCCTATTTCCTCATCCTCTTGAGCCTCCAGAGTAGTAATAGAATCTTTTGGCTCAAACTAATGAAAACTCCAGGTATTTGTATTGTCTTTATGAAATTTTGGTTGTGATCACGTTGGTTTTTAAAAGAATATTTGAAGCTGGAGTGTGAATGGGGCACAGAATGACAGTCTGGGAAGTGGAGCTCAGGGGCATCCCTGAAGGACAGCATGTGGCTCTGAGGTTTGTAACCCAACTATTTTAATTAGGATTGGAGCAGTAAATTTTCAAGCTCAAATGCCAGTTCCTTCATAATTTAGTGCTGGTGCAAGTGGACTTCTGGTTTACTTATGAGTAATTCACTTGAGCATTTGTTGCTAAATGTTAGGAAGACTTAGGTCTTTGAACATAAACTGGATCCTGCATGATTACACACTCCTTGGGCAGTCCCATGCAATAGCAGGAAAAAATACATTTTAGTTTTTTATCTGTTTGAACTAATATCACTGAGAAACCATATAAACAGAGCTCTCTGCTTCTTACTAGGAAGCAAAACGGGATTTATGCTCGATTTTGATGTTTTGCGTGTCAGTTTATGATCTCTTTCACCTTGTCCTATAACACCTGGTGCTATTGCGCATCAACTTTCTTAATCTAATAAACACTTCAGCATCTTTTCCATCTTTAATTAAACCTTAAAGCTCTTTATGTTCCATATATACCATTGCCATCTGCGTTCTGCTCTGGTGACTTGAGGTGGGGACTGTGACCCTTCGATTTCCCCCTTTGGGCTGTGTGTCTGTGGCTGCCCAGGTGAGCCTTCGTGGCTGGGTGCGTTTGTTGGGAGCTCAGGTGGAGATGGAGCTTTGGAAGTGTGAGCCTGCCTGTGCTCGGGGTTAGTTCTCACCTGTAGGCACCGGGGGCAGTGTTTGCTTTGAGGTTTCAGTGTTGGGCAGCCCCTTGTGGGTGCGGAGAAGGACAGAAAACAGTCATCACTTTAAGGGCATTGGCAGCGGGGGAGTGAAGGCGGTGTGCTTCTTAATACACTTGAAGTCAGCTAATGAAATTACTTCGGTTTTCTTTTAGAGTGCCTCGAGCAGAAACTCAATTGCATTTCTGCTTTTCGCAATAAGGTTAGCAATTTGACTAATTGGAAGTGCAACAGGAGATTAATTGTACCTTTTTAAGTTCAAGGAAATCCTCCCTGCTCCTGGCACAGTGGTAATCACATAGAAACCTACAGGATATTCATGCACTTGGAAAAATCCTTGTATTATATTTCAATTAAACTCTTTCTCTTCTAAATGCTAATTGAGGAAATCAGATGAAAATATTGGTCCAAGTCAGAAGAAACAACTCTTCAAAGACGATGTGAGCACAGCAGAGGGAAGGAACCACTGTGAAGTCCTTTGTGGCTTTATTCCCTTAAGATGATTGATAAATGTGATATGAGGAGGTTGACTGTGTTCCAAATTAAAACTAGAAGTGACAAGTTCAACAAAAACCAAAGTAATCCGAAATTCATGCAGAGCTGAGAGGCTGAAGATTACTGTAATGCCTGGATGTTTATGTGCTTTACTTAAATCATTTTTATGAGATATCTCGAGTGGCAACAAAGTATTAATAACTTTCCATTTCTCTCTTAATCAGAAGCTTTCATAAGCAACATTAATTTGTCTTGTTGGTGAAGAGCTCTGTTAATGAGTTGTCACATAGCTGGTACAAAAGAGCCATCTTAATGGTACATGTAATTAAAAGATTTTTCTTGCAAACGTTTAAGATTGCTTTTTGCATGAAAATATTATTTATCCATACATTTCCCATCCAGGTAATTTATCCATTATAAATGCTTTTGCAGCTGTACTAAAAAAAGTCACATCAACTTTTCTGATGAAGAAAATAACTACAGTGTAGCTGAAACTGGTGAGGTTGTGATAGCTGCAAATTGATGTTTGACTACAAATAGCAAACTGGTTAAAATGTGTTATCTTTCAAAATAATATCCTTCTGCCTCCCAGGAAAAAGCAATATGCTGTCCTAAATCTGTGATTATGAAAGCATTCCTCAATTTGAAAACATAAAAAACTCCTCATGGAGTTAAATGTATTTATACAGTATTTATAGGGTATTGTTTCATGTGATTTAACATTATCTGGAGAAAAATAGATAAATTTATGAACAAAACTTGTAAACAAAAGCTTATCTATAGCAGCATGATGAAAACATACACAAACAGCAGAGAAGAGCATATTATCATGAGAAAACAAGTGTAACAGAGCACAGGTAGATAAGAATTTGGTGAGTTACCAAGTATGATGCAAATGGTTTGAACTAATTCATGAGCAGTTCTCATCATTCTTTTCGTGTTCATCTGTACAGTTTAACCCAGATCTACATTAGATCATTGGTTCAGAAATGCACTCTTTGTTGCTCGTGATTAAAACGTGGGTTTCTTCATTTCTGCAGACGCCAAATAGGGTAGCATGTCCTTTCTCTGCAGAAGAAATCCTCATCCAGGAACAAATGCAAGACTCCAAAGCCAGCTCCCCTCAGGGGAAGCACTTGGGAATGAAGGCTTTCTCCTAGTATGATGGAAAAATCAATAATGGCCCTAAAAAGCATTGCTCCTGGGAGCTATCAGCGTGTGGCCTGTCATTCATTTGCTATTGTCACTTGTGTGTATCGATTAGCTGATCTTGTAGAAAGTACAGGGAGAGGGTGTCCATCCAATATGAGATCCACGTGCCAAATTCCTGATGTCTTGAGTGCTCCTCTCCAGAAGAAAGAGCCAACCTCATGCAGGTTCAGTTGTGTAATGTTTGGAGACCAAAGCAGATGGCCAACCTTAAAGGTAGAAGTCACCTGGACCAGATTGCTCGTTAGAACAGACTGCATGAATAGATACGTCCCTGTTGATGGTTTTAATGTAATTCCATAGTTAAATAATAAAAAGATGAGGTGTGAATAACCCCACTTAATACCCTGCTAATAGGAATGAGGCCTTTAAAATGATCAAACCCCATGTCATCCTGAATGCTGTTGTAATACAGTGATGTGAGTACGTTACAGGAACTTGCATATTTAAAGCCAAGTTTTTTTTTTCTTTTTCGAATCAAAATTTAAGCAATTAGTCAGTGCTTGTAGTGTCTCAGGTCTTGGAGGCTCTAAAATAGAAGTCAAGTGGAAAATAAATGCTTACAGTATTTTCTGAATATGTCATTTTTCACTTTTCTGTAGTAAAGACCACAGAAGTTGTATCCATTTAGTGCCTTCAATGGGAGAGCTTAATTTTGTGTCATGGCCCAAAGTCTGCAAGTGATTACTGCAGATGCAGGAATACTTTCATGGGGACGGTGCAGTTGTTCCTGGTCCTAACTGTCCGTAGATGATAAGGGTTCACTTTCCTAAACTTGTCATTTTTGTGGAGGAAGGCATTCTCCCAGCAGCCTGGGTGGTTTGGTTTGTACTT